TATCAAATGGAAAAAGAAAGCATATTTAACAAGTGGTGCTGGCATAACTGGATATCAACGTGTAGAACAAGGAAAATAGATCCATATCTATCGTCATGCACAAAACTGAAGTCCAAATGGATCAAAGACCTCAAAATAAAGCCAGCCACACTGAACCTCATAGAAGAGAAAGTGGGAAGTACACTTGAATGCATTGGCACAGGTGATCACTTCATAAATATGACCCCAGTATCACAGACACTGAGAGAAACAATTAATAAATGGACCTCCTGAAACTGAAAAGCTTCTGTAAAGCAAAGGACACAATCAACAAGACAAAACAACAGCCTACAGAATGGGAAAAGATCCTCACCAACCCCACATCGGACAGAGGTCTGATCTCCAAAAATAACCAAAGAACTCAAGAAATTGGACTCCAAAAGATCACATAATCCAATACAAAAAATGGAGTACAGACCTAAACAGAGAACTCTCAACAGAGGAATCTAAAATGGCTGAAAGATACTTAAGGAAATGTTCAACATCCTTAGCCATCAGAGTAATGCAAATCAAAACAACTCTGAGATTCCATCTTACACCTGTCAGAATGGCCAAGATCAAAAACACTAATGGCAATTTATGCTGGAGAGCTTGTGGGGAAAAGGGAACACTTCTGCATTGCTGGTGGGAATGCAAGCTGGTACAGCTGCTTTGGATGTCAGTATGGCGATTTCTCAGAAAGTTAGAAAAAACAACCTTCCTTAAAACCCAGCAATACCACTTTTGAGTATATACCCAAAGGATACTCAATCATACCATAAGGACATGTGCTCGACTATGTTCACAGCAGCATTATTTGTAATAGTCAGAACCTGGAAACAACCTAAATGCTCCTTAACCAGACAGAAGAATGGATAAAGATGTGGAACATTTACACAATGGAGTACTACCCAGCAGAAAAAAAAAAAACAATGACATCTTGAAATTTGTGAGCAAATTTGGATGGATCTAGAAAACATCATATTGAATGAGGTTACTCAGACCCAGAAATACAAATACAGTGGCTTTTAGACATAAAGCAAAGAAAAATCAGCCTACATTTTTCAATTCCAGAGAACCTAGATAACAAAGAGGACCATAAGAGAGACATACATGGATCTAATCTACATGGGAAGAAGAAAAAAAGCAAGCCCTCTTGAATAAATTTGGAGTGTGGGGATCATGGGAGAGGGCAGCTGGGAAGGGAGGAGGAAGGGAGGAGAGCAGAGAAAAAAATATAGCTCAATGAAAACAATAAAAAATACATTCTTTCTCATACAATATATTCTGACTATAGGTTCCCCTCCTTCTACTCCTCTTAGTTACTCTCCACCTGCCCTCCCCTCTGGATCTACTCCCTTTCTGTCTCTCATTAGAAAAGAAAAGGTTTTTAGGAGATAATAACCAAACATGACAAATAAGATTAAGCAAATCATCATATTGAAGTTGGACACAGCAACCCCACAAGAGAAGAGTCCCAAGAGCATGCAAATGTTTCAGAGATCCACTTGTTCTCTCAGTCAGGAGTACCATAAAGCATTAAACTAACAGATATAATATATACAGGACCCATGAATTTCTTGTGATTGCCTCTTCAGTCTCATAATCTTGATTAGTTGATTTAGAGAGCCTTGTTTTCCTGATGTCCCCATTTCCTCTTCCTCTTACACCATTTCTGCCTCCACTTCTCTGGGGTTTCCTAAGCTCTGAGGGGAGAGATTTGATGGAGACCTCAAATATAGACTCTCTCTTTTGCATAATGTCTAGCTGTGGGTCTCTGCATCTTTTTTCATTTGGTGTTTAAGCTTTCTTTATTTTGTCCTCATTCGTTATTTTTCAGTCCTAGGAAAAAATATCATTTGATGATACATAATACATACATGTCTAGAATATTCTCTTTATACAGTTTTAACCAAAATATAATTTCATATTTGCATCATTTACAATAATTTTCTTTCTCTCTTCTTACTGTTTCTTGTTTCATTCCCTTAAATTAGAGTTGAATCCAAATTACATACATGGCACATTGAAGAAAATTAATATTTTATACAGCCTTAAAAATATGCCACTTACCAGAGCAGTGACGCATGCCTTTAATCCCAGAACTGGGAAGGCAGAGGCAGGTAGATCTCTGTGAGTTTGAGGTCAGTCTGATCTATGTAGGGACTTCCAAAACAGCCAAGGCTATGTAGAGAGACTCTATCTCAAGGATGGAAGAGGAGGAGGGAAAAGAGGAGGAGGAACAGGAGGAATCAAGCCCCCTTTTCCTGTTGTAAATCTTAGGCAACTTTTCTTTCAACTTGGATTTTTCTATTTTCCCCTTTTGGTCTAATATAGCCTGGGAGTTAGAGAAGCTTTTCTTTATTGTAAGAGCCTTTGGAGACATCAATGACCTAGAGAAGTGAGGAACTCACTTGTAAATAGGAAAAGGCAAGCAGAAAAGAAATTACATAAAGGATCAGAAATTCTTATGTTAATCCTGTAATTGCAGTTTTAGATGATAGAAGATATTTATTACCATTGTTCAAGCTATAATAGAGAGGAGGACACTCAAAACCCTTGAAGAGAAGAAGGAAAGTCAAAGGCTCTTGTATTTATAAATCAGGTACCATTGGGAACCCTGGATAGAATTAGGGATGGAAGTGGAGGAAAAAGAAAGAAATGATTTTTATTTTTTGCTAACTCTGGGGTTCTGTCATCTTCTTTATTCTAGCTAGAACAAAGGGAATACACATCTTCTGCCATCTAAAGCACTGTTTTGCACCTCTTTGTTCTTATCTAAAGTGGTGGGAAGAGAGGACAGAACACACAAAGGTGGGACTGGATGTGTCCCCCCACTAGACCTCTAGAGACCTAGGTGTTCTTTTACCAAATACAGAAATTCCTTGAATTCCCTTACATTGTAAGAAATAATGATCCTCCCTCTTAATGAGCATATGGGAGACTCAGAATAGAAAAATGAAGCATTTTATTTTGTGACCTTGCAAAGTCAGTCAAAAATGGCTAGTGCACCAGTTTGGTGTAAAAAAACAGTTTTTCTAGTCCCAGTAACATTTCCCTCAGAAGTCCTTACTGCCTGAGCTCCTCAGGGAGGTCCAGTATTTCTGCTGTCTAATTTCATTCTCATCCCAATTCCCCATCCTATGGGTTCAAGATACAAAACCTTATCTAATTTATATTCTGAGGCTTTAGATTCCATGATTTTCTTTCTCTGTGCTTAGAAGACTTATTTTTATTTTGTATATATGAATGTTTGTCTACATGTACGTATGTACACTGTGTGTGTATCTGGTGCTCTCAAAGGCCAGAAGAGGGTGTTGGATCCCCTGGAACTGGAGTAAGACAACTGTGGGTCACTATGTGGGTGTTGGCAACTGAACTGGAAATCTTTGCATGAGCAGCAAAGATCCAACTCTTCCATCAGGATTCCTTCCTCTTCTGATGTATAGGCTGGGTCGTCTCGCAGACTACCTGTAACTTTTCAACCTTAGGATGACCTGAGAACACCAAGAAAAGCAGGCAGCTGCTGCCATCTAAGATAGACAGGGACCTAGTGCCACCTGCTATTCTGATTCTCTGGTGAGCTCTAAACACACCTCTTATTGAAAACGAATCATTATGATTTGATTCATACATGGTAATCGTTGGTCCTGTTGAGATAAATATGCTTCCAAACAAAGCAGGTTCTTAAAATGAGTGAATTAGTTGCTTTCTGCACAGTTTCAGAAATTTTCCTATGAGGAACTTGTACCTATATAGCTTCTAGGAAAACAAAAATCCCCTTGAGAAAGGAGGCCTCTTTAGCCTTCAGTAGTGGATACTTTCTGGAGAGAAGAGTTAGTTAAAAAGAGCTGAACAGAAGAAAGACAAATAGACTATTTGTCTTTTTCACCCCAGTACACCTCTCAAGGTGTCCGGGAGTGTGTAGTTACTCTATTATGAAGTTTCAAAGCACACAGGAGACTAGACTGGGAGTAACACTTGTGGAGGACAAACATGAGGGAGCCAAAGGGGGAGAGAAGTGAACAGCGAACTAAGGAAGAATTCAATTCTTCCCCACACTTTATCCCCCACGTATTAACTAGCTCATGATCTAAAGGTGTTTTCTGGCCTCTTTCTAATTTCATGAGGGAACAGGGAAATAGAGCGAGGAAAGATGTAGGTAAGGAGTTTTCAATATAGTGTGCTTCTTTGGGTTTTTATTCCTGTGCACGCCCAGCAAAACAATATAGTAGAAGGCAAGCAAGGAGTTCTCATGCTCCTTTTAAAAACATAAACCATGTTACACACTACGGGTCACACACTATTGCTGTCCTTAGTATTGAGGCATTTTGACTGAGAAAGCCACTGTGACCATGCTTGAAAGGCGACTCCCAGCTGTGTATTCTCTGGTACTTTAGCCTAGTTCAGCAGCTTCGCAAACTTTATTGTGGATGCTTCTAACCTAGGACTTTTGCTGTATATTTTGACTTTTGATTGACTAGGTCTGAGGAGAAACCTGCGGCGCTGCGTTTTTACCACGCTCCCAGGTGCTGCTGGTGCTGACCCGAGGCAAAGCCTCTGAGCACACAAGGGACTGGAAGTCATCACCTCTGCTGCCAGGTGTGCTGATGGCCAGCCTCAGCATTCCCGATCCGTGTCCTGCACGTCCCAGGCTTTCTGCAGGGAGGGGAGGAGCCGAGGGCGGAGCGGGAGGAGTGGCGCGGTCCCCGCGTGGGTCCTGCCTGAGGAGATCACCTCGGCCCCTTGGAGAGCCGCGGAGCTGCGGCGGCGCAGGAGGGGGCGGCTCTGGCGAGGGCGCGGCCTCCGGGAGGGGGGACAAGCGACACGCATTCTCCGTGCTCTCTCGGGCCACTCGGGAGCCTCGCAGCAGCCCGTTGCCCCACTTGGCCACCCGCTCCGTGATCCCTCCTTGCGCCTACCTCCTCTTGTCACCTCCCGTCTCACCCTCCTCGCTCCATCCCCCCCCCCCCACCGCATCCACAGCCATCCGAGCATCTCAGAGAGCAGGAGGTGCTGTGCCGGGCTGCAGGGCGCTCCCTCCAAAGGTCCCCAGCTCGACATTGGGGGGCCACAGGCGACAGCATGGACACCAAGCGCTGTTTCGCCAACCGCTTCGATGACTACCAGGGCAGCCTGCTGGCTGGCCAGTGCGAGGAGGCGGTGGCGCCCTTGGTCACCTCCACCATCGAACGCATCCTCCAGGAGCTGCCCCCGCTGGGGGGCGGCGCTGAGGCTCGAGGGGCGACAGCGGCGGGCAGCAGCTGCCAGGGGGGTCTATACAGCGGCGTGGCCGGGGTGGCCTACATGCTCTACCACGTCTCGCAGAGCCCGCTTTTCGCCGGGGCCCGCGAGCGCTACTTGCGCTCCGCCAAGCGCCTCATCGACGCGTGCTCCCGCTCCGAAGAGTGGGGCGAGCCGGACGCCGACACCCGCGCCGCCTTCCTGCTCGGGGGCGCGGGCGTGCACGCGGTGGCCACGCTCGTGTACCACGCCCTGGGCCGCTCCGACTACGTGCAGCCCCTCGGCAAGTTCCGGGCTCTGTGCGCCGTCTGCGCACCGGTCTCCTTCCTGGAGTGCGGCTCCGACGAGCTGTTCGTGGGCCGCGCCGGCTACCTGTGCGCCGCGCTGGTACTCAAGCAGAAACTCGCCCAGGAGGTAAGATGCTGGCTGCCCCGGTCGCCGGAGGGCGCTCGCCGGCTGCCCGCGCCCCGCGTGGGTCATTTCGGGACTCTCCGACGCCCGGAGCACCACCCCTGGTTATGCATCCCCCATCTCTTCTTCGTTACTTCTTTGTCTGGAGCTGTGCTTTCTTCTGTCCCTTCTGCTTTTGTCCGTCCTTTCCCCCTTTCTTTGTCCGCGCAATCGTTCGCTGGATTACTTGGCTTTTTGCTTTGTTCCCCTTTGTGCAGTAAACTTGGTGGCATCACTTCAGATGCCTCCTTGCCCCATAGCTTTTTTGGGGGGTTGACCCTGTGGCCCTTAAAAGCTAGTGTTTAAAAATGGGGGGAACTATTTTCTTTCCTTTGACCGTGCTAGCAAAAGTACCCTTAAATGTTAAGTCTAAAAAAGTAACGGGACTTTAGGACTGATGTGCAAGAAAGTTGCTTCTGGACTCCTGGGCCTGTGACCAAGCTGTTCAGGCGTAGGTCTGATGTGTGCACTGTGCTTTTTACTATTAAATTAATCCTAGGACTCATAATAAATGTGTATCTGATGTGAGTATAGTCTCTTTAAACAGCTAAATGTAGACAGAAATATGGTCACTTTGATCAAAAGCGGTTGTTTTTCTTCCATTTTAAAATCAGTAGTTAGGTTGACCACAGCATTTGTGACCAGGAAGCTTTTCTTAATAAACACTTTTTCAGGGACTCCTTGAAAGCAATTCAGTTTCACAACTATATATGTAGGCATTTTTTTTTCTTAAATTGTCTTTGAATATAGTATGCATATGTTAGCAGAAAATGTGCCAGTTCCTGTGGAGTTGTGGGAATTTAAAAAAAACCTATAAAGCCTCATAGTAATTAGAAATGAAAGGGAGGCACATTCATTCATAATCCACTGGAACAACGTTCTGTTCAAGGGAGAAAGCAGCACATTTAACTTGGCTAGATATGGTGAGAAAGGCATTTGGAGAAAAAAATAAAGGTCTATGGAGTGACTTAAAAGTATAATTAGCTTAGAAAACTAGCAAGCAGACTTCGTGTTTTTTTTTTTTTTTAAATTTACATCAGGTGAGGTTGATTCAAGTGAAGAGGAAAAATGCTGAAGGATGCACCAAGCTAGCAGGGCAGCCAAGGGCCATGTGACAAAGTTGTCTTGAAATAGTTTGTTCTGCTTCTGAGTCATTGTTATCTGCTAGCTGTTTCCCAAAGGCCCTTCCAGTTGTAGACAACCATTTAGAAGGCCACAGAGAGATTTACATATCATTTGCATTACATTTGCATTTGCTTCCCCAACCCTGCAGTCTGATGGTAGGCATTTTTTCTTTTAAAAAAAAAATCCCCCGGTTGTTTTCCTTAAGCTTGTTTATTCTTTTGCCCATGCCTTCCAAGTCTTTTTTCCATAATAGAATGGCAGAGTGGAAAATCAACCAAAAGACCAGGAGAGCTGTGCAGAGAAACTGGTGTTCCAAAACCAGTTGAAAGCCCTGCCCCACAAAAGCATTTAAGACCTTTTTTCTACCCTCCTGCCAAATCGGATTTGTCTTTTTGTGCTAATCAAATTGAGGTTCTCTGTCTGTCCCTGGGAGAAGGAACAAGAGAACCAGCTCTGAAGATTTTGAAAGAACAGCTTTTAATTTGTTAGATCAGTTGCCTCCATTTCAGCAATCCAAGAAATTGAGGCTTTGAGTGTGTAGGGCAGAGACTGGCACACCTTCCCCTCCCTAACTCCTTGCCAGCAGACAGCTTTTCTCTCAGTAGATGATCCGTGAACCTTGATTAAATTGAATTTCTAACTTGTGTCATTTTTCTATAAATAATCTGCCATTGTGTCCCAGTATCTTTTTTTCATTCAATGTCATTTACATTCACCTTCCTCTGTCATTTCCCATAGTTATCACCCTAGTTTAGAGCCTTCTCACATTATTTGACACATCTGTGCCACGTAATAAGTAATGAATGAATCACTCTGAGTTAGTTTTTCCCCCACTAAGCCATTCATCACCCTTTAAAAAAAGCTAGCTTCTTAAAGACACTTCTCATTACGTCATTTTCCTGCTCAGCATCCTTCAGTGGCTCCCTATTGCCTTTTCTCCAGTGGTTTCCTATCTCATAGTTAAACCTGTGACACTGGAAATGGCCGATAAGGCCTCACATGATGAAGCCTCTTGCGTACCTACTTTGCTTCTTACTCATGTTTAATATCCACACCGGCCTTATGTTGTTTTAGGCATTCTCTTGTCTCAGGCTGTTTGGACTCTCTGTTCTCCCTGCCTGGAACACTTCCTCTAGATATTTTTATAGCTAGCTCCATGACCTTGGATAGGTCTTTACCTCCTTAGTGAGGCATTACCTCTCAGCCTCATTTAAAATTTAAAATTACCCCCTTTCGTGTTTTTTATTCAGTTTGCTTGTTAATGTCTTCACTAATCAGACTATAAATTCCATAGGATGGAGATATTTTTATGTTGTAGTTTCAATATTAACATAGTGCCTAGCACATATGTAGGCACCTAACTCTTCTTTTGTAATGTTTCAAATATTGACTGTATACTATGTGACTTGCATTGCCAACCCACCTTTAAAATGGTAAGCCTTATCAATATTTCCCTTATGCTAATGCTTCTGGAGCTATGTTTAAAGAAAGCGTTTCCTACTTCTGGGTTCTCAGTAAATATCTATTGGAATAAATGAATTGAATAAATTATAGGTCCTTACAAATTCTTATTCAAATCAAAATGACCCACTAGATCAGTGCTTTAGAAAACATATTTTGCATAGGAATCACCTGTATATCTTTTCTGCAAAATAAAGAGAAATTGCCATAAATATTATAAATATATAGTAAAATATAGAAAACATTCTGATTTAGCCTTGGGAGAGGATCTGATATTCTGCATTTCTAACAAGTGCCTAGGTGGGACTGATAGGGTTGACTCATAGATCACAGTTTAGATAATAAGGCAATATGATGCCGTTTGGGTTTGGGTGTCACACCAGCCATGACTGTTAATCATGCTGCAACACTTCATTGTATGAAGCTTGATGTATTGATTTATGGGGCTGTAGTTTAGAATGCTCATTACAATATCATATCCCGTTCATTATAAGGACCCACAAAGGAATTTGTCTCAGGAGGTGGAAACAAATAGTTGCGTTCTTTTTACAATTGATAGAATCAGTCAGTCTTTGAAGTATGTCTTGTGGCTGATTGTACTTCTCATTTCCTTATACTAGAAAGCATAAGGCCAGAATTATGAATTACATGCTCTAGAATACAATGCTGTCTATATTTTCATACATCAACACTTCCTCTGGACTTATCTAATTTGTTACATTCTTAGGTTGTTCATTTAAGTTTTTGAAGTTTCCATTTGTGTTCATATAATTGATAAATGTTTAAAACGTGCTCTCCCCCCCCCACACACACAGAGAGAAAGAGAGAGAGAGAGAGAGAGAGAGAGAGAGAGAGATACTGAATCGCTCAGTGTGCTTAACATTTCCAGTGAATTCAACCGTCCTGAAAATACTTAAAGAAAGGGGATTTGAAGTGTGTAAGGCACATAGTCTTATACAATGGATTAGTGAAGTTCCAAGAAATTGTGTCATAAATATTTGCTGTCAGTCTGTTTTGACTTTTACTGGTTGGTGGAGATATAGGGGGGATGGTAGAGGGATTAAGGGAAATCTAGGGTGTTAATGAAAGTAACTTTGTCACTCAATGATTTTGTACAAATAGCTTCAAAAAAGTCTGAGCCTAAACTTCCACTTTTGTAATTGGATTAATAAGAATTCTTTAAAAAAATCAAATAAACTGAGCCCTACAAAACAATTCTTCATTGAACTTTTCTTCATTTTATTCATTCATTAAGCAAGTATTAATTAGATTTTTCTGCTATACCAAGCACCGTGCTAGATGCTGAGATTTAGCAGTGAGCAGAACAACAAACCGAATTGATTGTAAGAAATGATCTGAAGGAAGTAAACAGGAACTAAGATGGGGGAGGGGACAGGTTAGAGAAGGCAGAGCTACTGTTTGGGAGTTGATGGTAGAAAGGCTCCTTTGTGAAGGCATGTTATGTCTCACAACTGAAGCATGAGAATTAAGAGGCTGCCCTAGCAGCAACCATTGTGGCACAGGGGCCAGCAAGGACCAAACCATGCCGGCTTAGAGGTCTCTAATAAATGAGTAGGAGATAAGGAAGTTCAAAGACAAGGAAGGTTCCCAGTTGGGAGTAAATTAAAATCAGATCCCTTGGTACCAAAGAAGTCAAAGTTATGTAACTGAATTTGTTTTGTGTTTAAACAAGAGTATATTGATCTTTTGAAAAAAATGTTCCTGATTTTCTGACTATTGAGTAGATTGTCAATAGTAAGAATGATAAGGGGATAGGTGACGTGGGAGGTGATATATGTGTGAATATGTTTTATTGCCATTGGTTAATAAAGAAGCTGCTCTCGGGCAATGGCTTAACAGAGAAAAGCCATGCTGAAAGAGATAGAGAGAGAGAGTAGGCAGAGTCAGTGAGAAGCCATGTAGCCACCGGCAGGGGACAGATGCACAGAGATTAATAGAAATGGGTTAATTTAAGATATAAGACTTAGCTGAAAATACACTTAAGCTATTGCCCAAACAATATTGCAAATAATATAGTTTCTGAGTGATTATTTTGTGTTCTGGGCATCCAGGAACGAACAAGCAGCCTTCCCCAACAGATAGGGATGCAGTTCTTGGTGGAAGTGTGTTTGATTAGGTTGTGAGAAGTCCTGAGTTTGATCTCTAGTGTGCATACACACTCACACAACACCTGCAATAAATGTTTATGTGGCTCTTTTAAAATCTTCTTTGCACAAAGGCCTCCTTTGTCAGTCTGATGAACTTTCAGGACTTCTCAGGATAACATCTAAGAATGTATAAATTAAAACTTAGAATTACAAAAAGAAACCCATTGTAGTCAATTCAAAGCCCAAAACATTAAAAGATGTGATGTAGCA